AAATTTGATGATATTTCCCCTTTGATTTGTACGATTCGATGAGTACTTGAGTTATTTTTGACTGTTTTAGATTGTGTCAGTGCTAAGGTAGCCTTCACGACATTCATTTTAAACAATAAGGGTGTGTCAAGGGCCAAACCTCTACTTTTTTTTTTTTTTTTGGTCTGATTTAACATGACTTAAGGGTGTGTTTGTTTGAATTATGGGATTTAAATTCAACTATTCATCCAATTTTTTTCCCCAAAAAATCAAATCAAACACCTATTTTTTATTTTTTATATTATACTAAAAATCAATTTTACATTCAAAACATCTAATCAACACCTATTTATGTCACATCATACAACTATTCAAATTCAAAAATTTTACTATTCAGATCCCAACTTAAAATCCAAACCCCCAAACAAACACACCAAGTACTGTTGATTTCAATTTTACTATCAAAGAAATTTTTTGTTTTGTTTTTTGTTTTTTGTTTTTTGTTTTTTTTTTATGAAATAATTGCAAATTGTTAACCATATCCAAATGATTAATTACGTTGCTTTAATTATAGTGGAGAAGCATTAATTTATTTGTTTACAGCAATGAAGTCATTAATGAAGCAATATTAATAAATTCGTCGATCAATTAATAGCAGGCTGATTTGGTGGTAATAAGGAATAGTCAATGAATGCTGTGTCAATTTTTATTGTCTTAAAGTATATTTGCATGATTTTTAGGTGATTGTCTTTTTTTTTTTCGTTATAAATTGACAAATTTGTCCTTAATTGTATGATAAAGATGAAAAGTAATAAATAAATGAAGGGTAAAAATGTAAAATTTGTGTTTTAAAAAAAAAGATATAGGACAATAGTTGTTGGACATCTCAAATAGGAAAGTAGGGCATTAGTTTGTGGATGGAGAGTGTACTATTTTTTCTGAAAGTACAAAGTAAATATCTAAAAAACATCAATTTTAAGGCAATTATATTGTGCTTTTGAAATAAGAGTTGTATACTATTTATTTATTTATTTATTAAACTGGTGCTACATAGAAGTACATTGGTTGTTCTACAAGGGTACTTGTGATGTTCTATAGAATATACATTGTATTCTTATACAAATATATTTGATGTTATCTGAACTTTGAAGTGATATTATCATAACAATTAAACAGTATTTTTTGAAAGTTTGAACGGTGTTATATGAGAAAATCAGTGCGGTGGAGCACTATAACAACCGTCATATTTATAATTCACTTGTGCATTATTCTCCTTCGTGATTTCAAAATTGCACGAGACTTTTTATATTTTAAAATATTGCACAAAATCATTTTTACGGGATTATGTGCAATATTTTTTAAAAGACCATGTGGTTTTCTACAATTTCTAGAGAGTTTTAAACAATATTTTTTTTAATCAAACACGTGGGTGTTTCATTCAATTTTTAAACTGTAAGTTGGTATCATGTAAAAAATTTTGAAATCACGAGTGAATTATAAATATTTTTGTCTATATTATATATGAAACTTCTAGTATTTAATTAGTGAAACTTTTGTCGAATTCTATCTATAAAAGTAAGGATTTATTCTTAATCATGTAAATTATTCTTCTTTAATTTTCTGCATTGTATTATTAATAAAAGAATTTATCATATTTAAATTTCTTCAAAACTAATCTCCCTCCTTAATTTGCAAAGCTTCACCTATAAATGACCTATCAAGATTTGCCCTAATTGTACACCAATTTCATATCATTAGCTAACTCATTCAAAATGGCTAAGCTATACACTACTTTATTCTTCATTTCATTTCTCTTCTCATTGTGACCAAATCACAATGTGCATATAGACATAGTACAAAAAAATGATATCAATTCATAACATATAATAATGATTTATGCAATACATAATTAATTTAATTCTAATCATATAGTGGGAAGAGAGAAGTAGTAATATATAATGTGTCCATTCGTGTTTTCGGACAGTGTTCGTATCGGGTTGAGCTATGGGGTAACCAAAACTGTCAACCCGTTCCGAACCCGAAATTCGACCCGAAATCATAGACCTGAACACGACACAAATTCTTTTAGGTCGGGTTCAAATAGACCTCATTTAGTTTCGAATTATCCGAACCTTAACAACTCCAACACCAAACATAACCGAAAACTTAAAAAAAAATAAAATTAAATTAACCTTAAAAAATTCATTTTTATTTTTATTTTTATATTATTTTATATTTCAAATAATATAAATATTATAAATTAAAATAATAATAATAAATAATTTCAGGTCAACCCGTAACACGAAACCGATTTATAATATTTTTATATTTTAAATTATCAGGTCAACCCAAAATCTGATCCGACACGAATTTTTTTTATTTCAAGTTCGGGTCGACCCGATTTTTAAATACCCAAATCCGAACATGAAAAAATTTAGATCGAACGGGTTCGATTTTTCGGATGGTTTAATTTTGACACCCTTATCTAATCACCACCCTAGCTATCCATATATATCTGAAATTTTAATTGCAAATTGCTAACCATATATACCTAAAATTAAAGTTTGATATATATACATATATCCCCAACTAAAGTATAAGCAAGTGAGCCGGCCCGGCCCATATTTCCAAGCCCAAAGCGTATTGTTACTGTAGCAAGTCATTTGGGCCTAGGAAAATTGTCCTGATCTCTCTTGGGCTTACTACTCTTCTGGGCCGCTGGTATGCAACCAATACGTACGGTTCGTTTAGATATATTTTTTAAAAAAAATATTTTTAAAAAAAATTCGATTAATTTAAAAATATTAAAAATTGAATACAAATTATGTATTTAATAAAATATAAGTATTTTATATGGACCTTTGTTAGTAGGGATTCAACATATAGTTTTGACTAACACCTCAATTTATGTTTTATCACTGAATTTAAAAATCAACATAACACTATTAAATGTTTAAATCAAGTTTGATTTATTTTTTATTTTTATTATATAATCTTCACTTATATATATATATAGAAATACCATATCTTATCTTATAAAATATCACATTTAAATTACTGTTTAAATCATTTTATTTTATTTCTATATTGGAATATCTAAAAGAAAATGTCATTACTTATGACTCTGATATCTTATTAGATGATGTATATGATAATCTCGTCTAAAAATTTAAGCTGTTAAATATACGCATCATTTATTTTGATCGTTCAAATCATGTAACATGGTATCAGAGCCATATATCTTGTCTTCGAATCTTACAAAATATTATATATAACTTTATCGATCTACTTATCATTTTTTCTATTTTCAATCTTTATTGTACTTTGTGAAAGACTTCAAATATATTAGTATGGATAAAGATGATGACTATTATATTTGTATAAACATCTTACATCATATAATATTTTTTTACACGATTGACTTTTCATCTTTTTCTAATTTTATGCTTCATTGGTCGTTGGTCAAAAAATTTCATATATTTTGTAGAATGTATATATTAATTTAATTTTCTAGAAAACAAAAAGAAAATATATATATATATATATAAAGTAAACAAGCCCCTGAGGACACAAAATCCTCTCCATATATATTTTTAATCTATATTTTCTTCATTCTCAATAAAAAAAAATTAATATTCAAACAAGTACTGCACTATTATAAAAATACATATTAAAAAATATATATATATATATAATAGAAATAACAATATATTTTCTTTTGAGTGTTTTTTTTTTTTTTTTAAATTCAGTTTCCTTTTTCTTTTTTTTTTAATTATTGTTTTATCAATTATACAATTTTATAATTTATTTAAAAATATATGAATGCTTGATTTTATATTTTAGTTTGAGCTATAGTTGAAATATCATATTTGGTAAAATTAAATAATATAATTTTATAAGAATAATAAAAAGTGTATAAAAAACTAGACAAATTAAAACTAAACTCAAACTAAACAGAAAAGAACAAACTTTATAGAACTGATGCTATTTCGAGTAACTTTCAGCATATTTTTGTTCTTTTTTTCAATTGAATCCAAAAACAAAATGTAATTTATTAATTTAATAAAAAAAAAATTAAAAAAAAATTAAATTAATACACTTGGATGATCAACCTTCATGCTTTGAAGCAACAATTTATATATTTTTATTACACTTGCACAACAAATTATATGTTTTTCTTACACTTGAAGCAGCCAACTCATAAAATATGGTAGTCGAACTTGACTAGAAATAAAAAAAATAATAAAACATATATTAGTCTCTCTTTTTTTTTTTTTTACCTTAATTATTAATCTAATTCCCTTCAGACAAATCGAGCTATATTATCCAATTTTTCGATAAGAACTTACATAAAAATTATACATCCATTGATTTCGACAAAACCCTAATTATTTTTTCCAAAAGCGGTTAGAGTGTATCGTGCTGATTATCCTTAATCACACATAAGTATCTATTTTTAATCGCATGAACGGAATCAAATCATCGTATATCAATGGCAAAAATTACCTATTATATTGTCGGTTCATACCATGTATTTTCTTATAAGTGGACATAAATTTTGTATTAAAATCAATCATAATATGTATTGTATTGGCTATTACTCTATATATTTATGTTATTTAACATATACTTTGTACTAAAATCAATAGTATATATTCTTTTTGTTCGTCTCTAAGGTTACATTTAACTTTTGTGTTATTGTACTTAACATTAAAAATATCTTTATATCTGTAAAAAATTTTTTGTACAAATATTAATATATTAGAATTGTAAAACACTAATAGAAGTATTTTTGTCATTTTTTTTTAATTTGTACTATATTTTGATATAATAATTAATATCTAAATATCAATAGGCAAAAAGTAAATATAGTATTTAAACCTGATGAAAATAATATATTTTATGTGGACTATTACCATAGCCCAAATCTTCCACTTTTTCTTTTTTCACAATGGCATTAATTGACACCTATAAATAAATATCCCCTAAACATTATTTGTCACAACTAAATTTCTAAAAACCTAAGAACAATGGCAAAACTATACATTCCTTTGTTCTTCACATTGTTTTTCTTGTCTTCCAACTTTGCTATTTCTAGGGCAAAAATAGAAAATCCAACAAAAACCCTACCACTTTCCAACCTGCGCGAGAAATCAGCCGTCATTCAATTCTATGTTCACGATGCCCTCTCGGGGCCCAATGCTAGCTTATGGGAGGTAGGACGGGCGACAATCACGTCGGGTTCACCAACATCGTTCGGACTAGTTAGGGTTTTGGATGACAAGCTCACGGCCGAGCCCGAGAGGAATGCACCGGAGGTGGGGCGAGGGCAAGGGATTGTTACATCGTCAGATTTCCGAGTGGTGGCTCTGACAATGGATGTGAACATTGTGTTCACGACGGGTAAGTATAACGGAAGCACGTTGTGCTTGGCCGGGAGGAATCTTGTGGGCACTAAGGATATTGAACTACCGATTGTTGGAGGGACCGGAGTGTTCCGGATGGCGCGAGGGTATGCTATATCGAATGCTTATTCGTTCGATTCTGTCGATAATTATTTGATCTTGGATTATACTATGTATGTGTATTATTATGGATAGGTTTTGTGTGTTTGTCTTCAAGATCATTTTTTTGTTTGTTTGTTTAGAATGTGTGGATTTTGATTTTGTGGGATGTTAATTTGAAGTATGTTGGTGTAATAATTGCCAAAGATTGTTCATGTGAGATGAAGAAAATTTGGTGTGTTTTGTTGTAATTTGGGAGGTGTGGTTGGAAGATGGATTTTATTATTGAATAATGAAATATTGTTTGATTGTAAATTGTATGTCATAGTAAATTTGAAATATGTATTAAATTTAAAAGGAAAAAAAATAAAATTAGGGGTACGGTCTATATAGTTGCGACGGAATTTGCTACAAAATTTTGCCATTATTTAAGAAAACTAAGTACTAGTTGATAAATTCCAACGAAAATAACGAATTTTTTTTTTAATTATAAGTACATTTTGAGGGAATTCTCTTGAATATCTTCGTAATATTTTGCGAGGAAATTTTGTCTGTATACATTTACTGACTACTCGACTTGCAAGAAACTGAAATTCCCTCTCAAGTTTGTTTTACGAGGAAAATTACAGGATTTGTAGAAAAAAAAAAAAATCTTCGTAAAATCGCAATTTTTTATTTTATTTTATTTTTATATATAGTGTAATATATATATTTGCATATAATATCAAGTAAAACGTTGGCATTGGCAATAAAAATGTATTGAAAGGGCATCGTCCTATGCAGGAAGATCATGACTTGCATATTTAAATCTCTTTTTCTCCTCCTCTTTCTTTCTTTTTTTTTTTTTTTTTTTCGTATTATTGTCGTTCTTAATTAATAAAAATATTTAATTTTGTTAAATTTTGGATAATTCTATCTTTACTATACTTGAAATAGTTATATTAATAGTATCTTGAAGGATAATAAAAAAACAACATTTTGCCAAAGCTAAGTCCAAATTCAGGTAATATATATTATCATTTTTAGATTTAGAACTTGGGTTTGTAATTGAAAATAATAAAATTTTAAATTCAAATATTTATTTAATGTAATATAAATAAGTGATCTATAATTTTATGTATTTTAGGTAAAATTAATTTTAATATAATAATAAGAAAAGAAAAAGTAAATAATAAATCGTTAATTTAATTTAATATATATATATATTAATCATAGGTGGTATTAGTGAACAACACGATGAAGTTTGAACCAATCTATATAATCGGCTCAAAGAAACTTCTTATTCAATAAAAAGATTAAAGAAAAAAGTTATTGAGGTCATCAATATTTTAATTAAGACCAATCAATTGGTCAAATATTATAAAATGAAAATGTTTGAAAAAATAAATTTTGAATTATTGATACTATTACTTAATCTAGTTATCTCAATTGAAAGTACATTTTTCCTTGTTTGTTCAATTAAAAAATATTAATTTTTTATTATATGAAAAAATAATCCTATATTAATATTAAGGTCCCCAATACGCCCCTTCATGTCCAAGTAAGGTATGATACTATGTCGGAGTCAGAATGACTTAAAAGTTTGAATTACCAGAAAAATGCAGTCATTAATTATATATTCACAAACGGAAGTCCTCAACAGCTTTCATGAACGCCTACGCCTTGTTCACAAACACGGCTACCCAAAATCCCGGCCTCATTGCAATCGGAGATTGTCTGAATTTCTTTCGACCATTACAAGAAATCCATTGTCTCATCATTCTCTTCTTATGCGATCATATTTTTATTTATTTGCTATTAGATGACTATTATTTGAGTCTATTTAGGGTGTGTTTGTTTGAAGGATTTTGGTGGATTTCCACTATTCATCCAATTTTTTCCCCCAAAAAACATTAAATCAAACACCTATTTTTCATTTTTTATATTATACTAAAAATCAATTTTACATTCAAAACATCACATCAAACCCTATTTATATCACATCATACAACTATTCAAATTCAAAATTTTTACTACTCAAATCCTAACTCAAAATCCAAACCCCCAAACAAACACACCCTTAGTATGTATCATTCCTATTAATAAATATATAATTTTAGGGCATGAATCAACTGCTAATCCAACCAGATCAGCATATGATACATAGGTGACTAACATACATTGATAATATATTATATATTATATTATAACTCAGCATATGTTATCTTATAACACAATATATACTAAAATATGTATAAACATATGCTGATCACTGATTCCGTCAAATCAGCACTCATTTGGCCGAATCAGCACAGGATCTACGGCCATAATTTTATTATTAATAATATGCAACTCTAAAATTTTACAAAATGTAACAGCTACGAATGCAAGCTTGTATGTACATAACTTTAATACGAAGATGTAATCATAGTACAGAGTTCGGACAACAAAAGCAGTTGCGCATTTTTGTAAAAGATATCGAACATGGTATGATTTATTACGTATGGTATCTCTAACATTTCCCGAATTTCATATTTTCATCTTGTCTAAAAGCAGTAAATCTATGCACATATCAAGCAGCAGGGGGTCTAAGCATATGATCATGAGAAGTATCGCGGACAGACGGGGGAATGTACTGCCACATCGGGACTAAGCCATAGCTAGGAAAGACGGGAAGCTTGTTTACCTCCGGTAAATAAATCTGCGGAGGAGCTGGCACGAATCCTGTCGAAGGTATTTTCATTGTTTTCAGCTGCTGCTCTATCCATTCTTTATCGGCCTGAAGCATAAGTTTCTCCTGTCGAAGTTCATTCTTCTCCGCCTGTTTTTAGGATATACAAAGAACATGGAGTGAAAAAAGTTTGAGCGTTGAATTTACGAAGATTTATAAGAGATTTAAGGATAAACAGTGTTGAAAAGAACAGGATCAGATTGAGGAAGAGATGCACGAACCTTCAAATTTTGCATTTCTTCGAGAAGCCTTTCGTTCATCTCTTTGTATTCGCGGGATTCGGTTTTGAGCTGCTTTAGAATTCTGATGGTATCGTTTAGTATGGCTATTTTATCAGTTTTCACAGGCCTTCCGGGTTCCAAAACAGCGCATAATTTGGAAAATCTGCGTCGATGAAGTTATAATAATGAAATCAATGACTTATAATAGATTCAAATAATAACTATATAATATAACAAATTGTATTAAATATAAAAAATATTTCAACATCCTCTTAAACTCTCTATTGTGTCAACAATATATCAAAAATCTTCCACAGAATGAGAGTCAAAAGCAAGGTTCTCAATGGAGTTAGAGTCGAAAACAGGACTCTTAACACCATTAAAGTCGAAAGCAAGCTCTTAACACTCTCAATTTCGTTAGAATTAGAAGCGGAGCCCTCAACGCCGTTAGAATTAGAAGCAAAACTCTCATTGCTCTCAACGAAGTTAGAATCAAAAGTAGGGCTCTTTGATCTATCAAGGTAAGAAAATAAGGCTCTCAACGTCATTAGAATCGAAAATAAGACTCTCAACACTCTCAATGTAATTAAAGTCAAAAGTAATGTCTCAACACTATTAGAATTGAAAACAAATATTTCAACACCGTTAGAGTTGAAAACAGGACTTTCAATATAGTTAGAGTCAAAAGCAGGACAAGACTCTCAAGACCGTTAGAGTCGAAAACAAAATTTTCAACACGGTTAGAATAGGAAGCAGACTTTCAACACCATTAGAATCGAAAGTAGGGCTTCGAAGTGAATGAGAATAAACAATCGAAGACCGAGCATAAACTTTAATGAAACTAAAAACCAAATTTGACAGTCAAACAATTGCAGGCATAGTTGAGGATCTCGAGACCTTCAGGTATATTCCGGAAAAACGTAGCTTTAATACCATATTACATAGCAAAATATATTAAATATCGAAAACATACAAGAAAAACAAGTATATTTGTTTTCTCAATAGGAACACTCTGTTTTCCCTTGCACAGAAACTATCACATGAACACATACTAGATACATAGAACACATGTAGATCAACAATTTTCGATATGCAAAAGTTTCGGAAAGACAATAATCGACAGAATATCGAAGTAATAACTACCTGTCGTTCAATTTTTCTCTCCTCACTCGCTCACGAAATGCTTTTGCTCCAATTCCACCGTACAGATCGCCTCGATCTCTGTAGAACACAAATCATATATGTAAAGCAAGAAAGGATTCCTAATGTTCTTAAGCTAAAAAGTTATCCTGGTAAACATTTCACCAGTTACCTCTTTCTGGAACATTCCTTTTCTGCGAAATTATCACTTCCTTGCGATGTAGTAACACTAAATGAAGCATCAATTCCTGCGTAGGGACTGCAATTGGAAGATCAAAGCATTTCAAAGCCAGTTCTGAAAATTTTTACTACCAATCTACACATCATATTGAATTTTCAGCAGTTTCTGTTTTGGAAAATATCGAACTACGATTAGTGATATACTAAGCTTTAATTTCTTCGTCGCCCTAAATCAAGTCATAGGAATTTTCCTCCAATTCTAAATTTCAAAACCGAACACTTGCAGAAATCGAAATCCCTAAACTTAGCAATAAAGAACCGCAACAATAACAATTCAAAATTGTGCTAAGCTTTGTCACTCACTTTTGCTGCAGCTGATAGGTCCAATACAGATCCTCCGGCGCGGCGGCGGAGGCGACAACGTCGTCCAACAGACCGCTGAAATCTTCCAAATCCGGCCAGCAACAGTCGTCAAAGGAAGCCATTTTCGAAGAAAGGATTTGGCGATGAAGAACAATACAATACGGGAAAAATAGAAGAAATAGTTCAGATTGGGAGCCAATAAGAATTCGACACGTGGAGTCATTAATTAAATAACTATTACCCGCCAATATAAGTATTAGTGCGGGAGAGTGAGAGAAGTCGTTGATTTATTATAAATGCGACTTTAGATTAGTTTCGTCATTGCTTGTGTTTGCCTTCAATTATTTCATATTAAATAATACTTAATTTAATCATTTTTGTGCCTTTCAATGTGACTTCAGAAATTTAGGTCGAATTTATTTTATTGGTCAAGAGGCGACCCATATTGCATTCAAAATAGTAAAAATAATACTCACTCAATAACAAAGTATTCGTTTTTTTTTTTTTTTTTTTTAATTATACTATCTACCTAACATTACAAATACCTTTGCAGCTTACAATATATTACACAAATTTCATTACATTTATATCATACATACTAATAAGATTATTTTAGTCATTTCTATTTTATTCTTATTATATCCCAATATAATACTACTCCCTCCGTCCCATGTAATATGAGTGTATTACTGTAGACACGGGAATTTATGTAAATTATAATTAGTAAGTAATTAAGAAGTGTATTAGTAAAAATAATTATTATTTAGTAAAAATAATTATAGATTAAGATTAAGATAAGTAAATAATTTAATTAAAATTAAGAAAATTATAAAATTTAAAATTTAAAATGCTATTAAAGTGCATAATTTAATTTCCAAAAATAGAAATAACAAGTTATGTGGGATGGACGAAAATAGAAAATAGGGACAAATTAAGTGGGACGGAGAGAGTAATATTTTTAAAACTAAGTACAAAAAACAAATAGATATTTACTTTTAGGACGGAGGAAGTATTTAAAAAACATAAGGATAAATATATTTTTAGTTTGTATTCATTATATATATATATATATATTAAGTAAAGTTTTTATAAAAGTAATCTTATACTCCTTCCGTGAGCCTCGAAGCATATCATATTTATGTTTTGCATTATTATATTTAATATTAAAAATATTCTTATATTTATATAATTTTTTTTACAAATATCTTTCTATTAGTATTATAAAACACTAATGAAAGTATTTTTATAATTTTTTTTAATTTATATTATATTTTGATATAATAATTAATATTTAAATATTAACGCGCAAAAAGTAATGAAATCCTTAAAGTCGAATGGAGGTAGTATTTAATACATAGTTGTTGAAAATTTCCTTTGGCTCCAAAATATTATGTGCGGTGGCATGACATCTTCCGTGATGAATATGAATATATTATTATTAAAACATATATTTTGTTTATTTATTTAAAAATTAAATTTACGTCAAATTTTGGTACTAAGGTTGTGTTCTTTTGTAGATTTTAATACACGTTTTTACTATTCAGATTTTTTTCTCCAATAATATTAAATTTAAATAATTGTTTTTTTTATATATTATACTACAAATTTATTTTATATTAAAAATATCATATCAATATCTATCTATATCACATCAAATAACTATTTAAAATTCAACTTTTTACTATTTATAAATCCAAACCCAAAACTTCAAACCCACGAACAAACACACCCTAAAAGTTTCTATATGACTAGTGTATATGTTACATTAGCATACACGATAATATTTCAATACTAAGTAGCATAGATTTAAATGTATTTGGTTTCTATTTCTAATATATTAAAAAAATAATAATATTTTATTAATTAGTAAAAATGTATAATAATTTTTTATATTTTTGACATTTGACTTTATGTATAAAATAATTGTATATGTAATAGTATATTTGTAATTAAGTAAAAGCCAAATGTATTTATGTATCAGTATATATAATTATTTTTTTCTAAAATAGAAAAGTGATAAACAAAAATAGTAAAACGGATACTTTAAATTGAAATGAAAAAAAAATATATGATTTGTAATAAAAATAAATTATTTTAAAATATTATTTAAATAAGATAATTAATAAAAACTAAAATTAAAATCAAACAAACCCTAAACACATGAAATCAAAAAATGATGTTTATTAAACTACTAATAAAATATCAATAAAACAACGAATTAATTATTCCTGCCATCTCCAAATTTAAATCTGTCATCGAATCCTCCGCCAATTCCTCCACCTCCACCGCCGCCAACGCCAACTCCGCCAATGCCAAGGCCGCCACCGCCACCACCACCAGCTCCAAAATCCCCTTTAACATGACCACTAAATCCGCCCATTCCCATCTTAAAGTCGCCTTCGCCACCACCACCAACACCAAAACCGCCGCCCATACCACCTCCTAGGCCGCCCAAATCACCAAGACTGCCGCCACTTCCTCCGGCGAGCCCGCCGCCCATGCCGCCTCCACCTTCAATGCTACCCCCAAAATTACCCATATCGGCACCTCCAAATTTATCAAGCCCGCCAATGCCGCCGTCAAAACCATCTCCAAATTCGGCGCCGCCGTTTACAACTCCAGCAACGGCATCAAGAACTAAAATCATAAACAGAAAGCCTGTGGAAGTAACACCGAAAAAATTTACTTCCCTCGTCATCTTAAGAAAAAGTAAGAAAAATTATTGTCCGTAAAAAAAAATTCGTCTTTTAAGGTTAAAAATATCATTGTAGAAAGTGAAATAAGATTGAGGTATATATAAATGATGCTTTGAACACATCAAGGTAAAAGTTAAATGGTTTGTTTCAACTGTCCCCCAACTTTTTGGTAAATTTATTGATGTTGTTGTGATATTTAAATTTCTAATTACTATCAACATTATTAATTAATTAGTTAGGTTTAGTCATTTTTCATTGATTCTAGTGAGGAATATAAATGTTTTGTTTTAGTTCTGTTTGTGTTTGGTTTTAGTTTGAATGTGTTTTTTTTTTTTTTTTTGAGTTTTTTTTTTAAAAAAAATTATCTTCATCCGGCTCTAAGGATCTTATTTAATTTTTGTATATTGATTTTTTAATATTAATTACTATATCAAAACGTAGTACAAATTAAAAAAATTGCAAAAATACTTATATTAGTGTCTTATAATACTAATAGTATGACATTTGTTAAAAAAAAATTATACAAATAATATTTTTAATGTTAAGTATAATAACGCAAAATATAGATGTGATCAGAGAGACGGACGGATAGTGTAGTATTTTGATGTATCTTTTTATGAAAAAATAATAATCACTCCGTCAATTTTGTAGAAATATATTTTATCATTTTTTTTATATTCAAACACAAAAGTTTCGTTTAGACAAAGGCTTTTGAAATTTTGAAATTTTGAAAAAAATTAATATTTGATATTTGATTTGATACATTGTAAAAGGAAAAAAAAAAAGTATTTGAATGTTATATTTTTTTCAAAAATAAATAGTGTCAAATAGTTGAAAGTTAGTGTATAAACAAAATCATATACTCCCTACGTCCCATAACTAAATATCAATTTGGTTTTTGCACGTAGTTTTAGAAATATTAGTATTATATTGGGATATAGTAGAAATAAAGTAGAAAAGACTAAAATAACATTATTAGTATGTGTGATATAAAGGTAAGTAATATATTGTAAATTGTAAGGGTATTTGTAATGTTAAGTAGATAGTAGAGTTACTAAAAAATGAAATTGATACTTTGTTATGAGACGGACTAAAATGAAAAAAATAGATATTTTATTATGGAACGGAAAAAGTATATTTTTCTTTTTTAGTATATATAAATTTCACTATATATATTACAAATACCTTCACATTTATATTTATTTACATCAATACCATTGTTAACTCTACAGACTATATGAGTAAAATGGTCTTCATGTATCAAATTATTACAAATTATCATTATAATATAATATCTATTAAAGTTTGTGCAGAAAATAAATATTTACATTCTAAATAGATTAAAAAAAAAAGTATATATTTTTTTTATTAAGAACCATACAAGTTGAATAATATCTATTTTTTATGTGAGACTAAAACCAAACAAGAAAGTCTATTGGAATTTTTTTAAAGAAGATATCATATATAAATATATTTATATTTAAATTAATTAATTTAAATATAAATATAGTCCAACAATTTTAATATAAATATTTCGATATTATACATATCTTTATAATATTTATTTTATATATACATATAAACTTTTTAATAAAAAAAAATGACCCCAAGTTCCAAAATTTTGGGCACGAAACATGGGCCAGGTGGCCAAACACGAGGGCGGTTGTGCCAAAAAAAAAAAAAAAAGAAAGAAAAAGGCTCACAAAAATTTTGAAAAAAAAAAAATAAAATTAGATATCAATATATTTACCAAATTATTGATATACCAAATACTCTCTTCGTGTCCCTTAACAATCTATTCAATTTTTTTATTTTGGTATGTTCCATAACAAAGTATCCGTTTTCTTTTTTTTTTTTTTAGTAATTGTACTATCTACCTAACATTACAAATACTCTTCTAATTTACAATATATTACACAAATGTCATTACCTTTATATCATACAATACTAATAGAGTTAATTTAGTCTTTTTATCTTTATTTCTACTTTATCCCAATATAATACTGATATTTCTAAAACTCCGTGTAAAAAACAAATAGATAGATAGATTGGGGACGGGGGAGTATTAAAATATAAATATTGTATACAGTATGTTTAAGTACATATCAAAATACTAAAATAATTTTGGTATTTTAGTATATAATAAAAATATCGAAATGCCAAAAATTTTATGTCGTACTCTACTAAAAATATTCAGTACAATATTATACTATATCAAAATTTACGATATACTAAAATTTTAATATTTGTAATATTTTTTCAATATAATATATTTAAGCATTTTTTTTTCCACCTAGACAAGTTAAAGTTTAATTTGGGCATTAAAAAAGCAAAATACTCAACAATTTTATAATAAAACAACAAAAGTATTAATTAATTAATTAATTAATTATAAAGCTTGTATGTCAAGGATTGAAAAAATAAATTAATGTGAAATAAAGTAAAAGGCAATGCATGCAACTCACTCTACGTACCATAATGTAACGAAGAATACTCCTAATAATTAATTAATTAAATAATATAATCAGAGTCTGGGTTGTTAGATAAATTGATTTTTTAATTTTTTTTGTGCGTGATTAATAGAACTGTATTGATAATATAAAAAATAATATTTTGTATTGAATTGTTGACTTTTTATAAGTAAATAATGTATATATTATATTAATGTGTATATATTTATATTTTTCTAATAATATTTATGAAAAACTATTTCATTGAAAATAAAAATGTAACGAAGAATACTCGTAATAAATAATTAATTAAATAAAATGATATAAACAAAAATAAAAATGTAACGAAGAATACTCTCCCCTTCACGTACATAGCAATTCCCCCTTCTAACAAAAACATGATTCTCCCTTATTTCCAACTACTCCAAATCCCTATAAATATTTAATCATCCCATAAAATAAATAAATAAATAAATAAATCTCAAAAAATAAAAAATAAAATAAATCTCAAAAAATGCATCCTACAATATTTTTAATAATATTCCTTCTTATTCCGTTAGCCGCCGCCGCCGCCGCCGCCGCCAGCCGAAACACCACGATAACTTCCCCGTGGCTGCGCCAATCGATCAACCACGGCCGCCGCTCCGGCTGCCGGTGGCAGCCGTGGATTTGCGACGTCGACAACCACGGCGGCGACCCGGAGGCCCCGAGAGTCCGCCGGAGATGCTGCCGGAATCGGTGCGTCGACGTATTTTCCGACGTGAATAATTGCGGAATGTGCCGGATACGGTGTCGTTTTACGCGGCAGTGCTGCCGCGGAATCTGCGTGAACACGAACCGGAATCCGTACCATTGCGGGCGGTGCGGGCGGCGCTGCCGGTGGCCGAGCCGCTGCGTTTACGGCATGTGCGGATACGCGGAGGAGCCGCGGCCGAAGCACGACCGGCGGCGCCGCCCGCCTCCGGCGGGCTGAACCGGCCGGTTTTTTGGGGTAATGGTTTATGAATATATATGTGGATTTGTTGATGTTTGGGTTTGGGAATTGTTTGGTTGGAAATTAATACGTGGATTTGGAATAATTGGTGTTTTTATTTATAAGAAGTATGTGTGTTTTATTGTAAGATGATCGATGATATTAAAATTATGGGTTTATTATTATTATTATTATTATTATTATTTATAATATAGAAATTCTCAGTCGATATCCGAAAGTACGGATTGCGTTGAATTATGGGTTTTGATTGAATGGATTGGGATCCATTATGTTTGTGTTTTGTAATTCTTGGGTTCGTTTGAATTGATATTTTAAATAATTTTAATACTATTATTTATAATGGATGTGCTTGGTTTGGTTTTCAAATTTAACTTACTTCCCCTCTTTGGATTAATTATCAGTATTATTTTTTTCGATACATAAGCTAAAAAATAATTATGTTTTAATATAAAAATGTGAATATTGAAAAGAAATTATTAAATAATTGATAAAAAAAAATATATGTGATGTGATTATTGGTGAAAAAAAAAAAAAAGTAATAAATTGGTTATTATTTTTTAAATTATGAATAATAAAATTATATATGAGATAATTAATTGTGCATAAATTTTACGGACAAACAAGAAAAAGAAAAAGAAGCATAATTATAGCAGATATTATTCACAATTTTAAAAAATATATATATAATTTTCTCTGATAAAATATCAAATCAAAATACTATTTAAAAAAAAAAACCTTCAAACTAAAATGAAATTTTATTTTCTAGAAAATATATTCAAAATGTATATATTTGTATTGCAATATACTTTTTAAAATATTTAAATATATATTATAAATTCTTTTAATCATATGTATTAAATTTACTTTAAAATTACAAATATAATTAATTGCATAATAAATAATAAAATAATAGTATTAAAATTCATTATTATTATTTATTAATTAAATATTATTATTTTAAATATGTATTACTAATAAAATGAGTCAATTATTTTTTTTAAAAAAGTGAATAGTAATTTTAAGTGTAAAGCAAGAGAATTTGAAAAAATAATATAAAATACTAAAAATTTAAAAGAACGACCTAAGACGTGGAAAAATAGATAAAAATGAAAGTGAATGGTCCTTCAATGTTTTTTTTTTTTTTCATCTCAACTCTCAAAACATAACATTGTAAATCTATTTTAATTTAACATAATATATAAAAATACAAAATATCATATTGTTACAAAAATTAGAAAATCAAGAAGGCATACAAAAAAAAAAAAAAAATGTGTTAGACTTAATTCAATAAAAATGATCAATTGAATGTACAATATTTTTATAAATTCCAACTTAAATTTGACAATAAGATACATAGCAAATTTTTATTTATAATATACTCCTTCCGTCCCATAAATATAGTTTTAATTAAGTTGGACACGAGATTTAAGGAATATTAATATTATATTGGTAGTTGGTAAAAAGTATGGATAAAATATATTTTTGCCCTTGTGAGTGTATTAAAATAAAAAATAGTGGCAATTGTGTAATAAAAATGAAAAAGTAGGGTAGTTTTATAGTGATATGATTATTTATGTAAATAAAACTATTGTTTTGAGACGAACAAAAATGGTAAACAAAACTATTGTATTCCATTTGCATTTTGTACGGAGTTTTAGAAATATTAGTATTATATTGGGATAAAGTAGAAATAAATGTAAAAAGACTAAATGAACCCTATTAGTATTGTAGTATGATATAAAGGTAATGACATTTGTATAATATATTGTAAATTGAAAGAATATTTGTAATGTTAGATAGATAGTACAATTACTAAAAAAAAAAATTAATATTTTTTTATGGAACATACTAAAATAAAAAAAATAGATAGATTGTTAAGGGAAGGGAGTATAATAAAAGATAGTAGGCAGTATTATTCATGACATAATACCTATTCTCTATCACATACCCCCAGGCCAATCGGAAACGCCCTGTCCCTCCGACAATAGGCAGCTCCCGGCCCATCGGGATCCCGAGCGAGTTCCTCCCTGCCGCGCTCAGCGTGCTCCCGTTGTACAGCCCCGCCGTGAAAACCACATTGAGAGTCAACGCCAACGCGACCTCCCGCATATCCGCCGAAACCAACATCCCTTGGACCCGCCCGAGCCCCGGCGAGCCCTTGTCGGGATTCGCCGTGATCGTAGCGTCAGAAACCCTGAGGAGCCCGAATTGCGTCGGCGAGTTAGCCGTTATCGAGGGCCATGCAACCTCATATATGTTCAGGCCCGACCCTCCCTCGGTGCTGTGGACGTAGTAACGGATGCCCGTCGATTTCTCCCTCCAGCGAGATAAGGTTTCGAAGAAATCGCTTGGATTATCGGATTTTTTCGTCGTCGTCGTCACCGCCGCTGCTGTTGAAATGGTGAATAGGAGGAAGACGATGAAGAGCAGCCCCTCCATTGATGATGGATGAATTTAAATTATTTTGTAGAGGTGGAAGTTATGGCTAAGGGTTTGGTTTAGGGTTTGTATTTATAGGGTAAAATAGAGCTATGGGTTTAGGGTTCTTGAAATTATTGTCATTTTTGTGCATAGATTGTAAGACTTTGTTATGTTTTTGTCGGAAGTTTTTGAAAAACATATCGTGACATCCCAGCCCGCAAGTCAAATTTGCATTCTTAGAGGTAATTTATCCTTAAATTACTCTAAAGTAAGCACGTTTAATTTTAAGCACTATAAAAAAAATTAATTTTTTATAGTGTCTAGATTGCCCGTAACAATAAGACCATCACAAAAATAAGTTTATGTTACAAAATTAACTGACATAAAAAGATTTTTTCGATGGTCAACCTTTTTTTATTTGCTTCGATAAGTTATCCGTAACAAATACACAAAATTATAAGTTGTCCTATATGCATTTGTTACGGAATTCAAACCGTAACAAAAAAAGGTCCATATTTTAATTATTAAAAAAAAAATTAATAAGTCTTTCAAAAAGAAGTGCACATTATTGACATGAATAATAGTTTATTCAATTTATTTAACCTATAATCAACTTTGGATGGTCTAATACCGGTTCATTCACACACAGGAATTGGGCAAGCAACGGCTTAACTGCGGGGCATCACACATATGCTACTATGTTCAATTATAAAATATCTGGGCTCCTTTCATTCAATGTTTTTTGATGAAATATTTTTTGTGTGCGGTAATTGTATTAAAAATATAAAATATAATTATTTTAAGTTGAATACTTAATTTTTTGACTTTTTGTAATGTATTTTTAACTTTTTATAATGAGTATTTGAAGTTTTTTCTACCTTTTGACTTTTGTATTAAATATTTTGTATTTTTTATTGTTATTTTTTGGGAATCGAAATTGAAAAATAATGTTAAAAGAAAAAACGATTTTTTCTCGCATTAAATATTATATAAAATACACAGTTTTATTATATTAAAAAAATTAAAATTTTAAAACTTCCATAAAAGCATAGCCCTATTTTCTTTTAATATTATTGTCAATTATTTTCATATTTGCATAGGTGCTAAATATTTTTAAAATGTTTTTATATTAATTTATATGATTTCATTGTATTATTAATATAATTAAAATAAATAATTTTTTAATTATCCATGTGCTGAATTTTTAATTTCGAATCGAGCCACAATTAGGAAGTCTATAATTCTGAGGTTTTTTATTTAGAGGATCACTTTTAGCTATGTTATTTTGGAGTTCAATTTAATTTTACAAGTTTTATTATTAGCCATTATAACTATTTCTCTTTTAAAAATATACCCTTATAATGAGTACTTACTCTGGTATCACAGTTACGTTAGACACTATAATTTATGGGAGATATAATTGTTAAATAATTAATAATATATTAATGAATTTAATTATAATATAATTTTTTTTTTCGTCTCAAAACTATAGGCTTAATTGGATTGGACACAAAATTTAAAAAATATTGATATTATATTAATAGTTGATACAAAGTATAGATAAAATACTTTTTTATCTTTATGAGTGTATTAGTGTAAAAAGTTGTGGCAATTGTGTAATAAAAATAAAAAAGTAGGAGTAGTTTTAAGGTGATATGGTTATTTATGGAATTAAAACTATTATTTTGGGACAAACAAAAACAGTAAACAAGACTATTGTATTGGGACAGATGGAGTATTAAAATTAAGATAATTAATTAATTTAATAAAAAAATTAAAAAAATTATAAATTATAAAATTTAAAATATGATTAAAATATAAATACTTTTCCAAAAAAAAAAGACATAATATATGAGATAGACGAAAATAAAAAGTATAACATGATATGTGGGGCGGAGGGAATATATATATATTTTTTTTGTCTAAACACAAAATATTTATTTCTTTCTGTTTTTTAGTAAGTATGAACTCTACTACATATTTATGTCAATATTCTTACAATAACTTTATACATCATATGAGTAGAATAGTTTTTACATATCAAAACCATATATTAGTAATTATTATTAAAATATACTTTTTCCGTTCCAATACAATATTCATGTTTATCATTTTTGTCCGTTCCAAAATAATAGTCTCATTTCCATAAATAACCGTATCACCATAAAACTATCCCTACTTTTTTATTATTATTACACAATTGCCACTATTTTTAACACTAATATACTCACAAACGCAAAAAAAATTATTTATCATTACTTTTTACCAGGTACCAATATAATATCAATATTCCTTAAATCTCGTACCAACACAATAAATCTATAATTTTGGAACAGATGAAGTAATATTTATTAAACTCCAAAAAATTGTATAATTACCAAGTAAACGAATGAAATATTATAAAATATTTATATTATCAAAATAATTATTCATACCCAATATAAAAAGAAAAATAATTATTCAAAAATACAAAATAAACAAACTCAGTATATATCCATATATTTTGTTATTTTATCCTTATACTATTCTCAATAAATAAATATTTTGATAACTCAAAATAATATATGTGGAGAGAACAAATTAAACATTATGTTTAAATGTGTTTCAACTTTGGTTTACAGTAATTTTCAATATCTTTATTTCATCTTTTAAGTAATATTCTTTTCGTAAAAAAAATATTACTTCCTCCGTCCCAGATACCGTGTCTGCTATACTGTAAACACGGTATTTTAGGAGGAGTTAATTAGTAGATAATTAAGAATGTATTAGTGAAAATAATTATCCTATAATATAAATAATTATAAATTAAGATTAACATAACTAATTAGGTTAATTAAAATTAAAAAAAATTAAAATTAAAACAATTAAAATGAGATTAAAGTGTGTAATCATTTTCCAAAAAAGGAAAGTGACATGGTATGTGGGACGAACAGAAACGGCAACGTGGACATAATATCTGGGACGGAGGGAGTAGTATTTTAGTAATAATTGTTAGTATACAATTATATAAAGACAAAATTATCCTTACTAAAAAATAATTTATGTAACGATATGACTGTACATAAATGTAAAAATAGGGGTATTGTAATTTATAATATGAGTGGTGATTACTACAAAGAAAAATGTACACTTGACGGAAAATAGAAATACGTAAATATTTAATAAATTATTAAAAAAAAAAAAAAAAGTATTGAAACAAAATCTCAAAGTAATAAAATCCTTAACTTCCTCGAACACTCGTATAGTCTCCATAATAGACATAGGCCGTATTATTCATGACAAAACTATTCTCGACAGGATCAAACGAATACGTATTCTCCAGAACATATCCCCTCGCCATCAAGAAGGTCCCGGACCCTCCGGCGATCGGAAGGACCCGCCCGGTCGTAATTTCGAGCGGGTTCCTCCCCAAGACGCTCAACGAGCTCCCGTTGTACGGCCCCGCCGTGAACACCACATTCACCACCATCGCCATTGCCCGTTCCCGCCGATCCGCCGACATCATCATGCCTTGCACGTGCCCTAACTCGGTCGAGTTCTCGTCGTAATCTGCCGTGATCGTACAATCGAGGACGCTCAATTGCCCAAATTGCGTCGGCGACGAATCCGTAACCGATGCTTTTGCAACCTCGTATATGCCTTGGCTCGGCCCTCCCGAGGCGCCGTGGACGTAGTAACGGATTATCGCCGATTTCTCGCCGGGTCGGGTAATTAATAAATCGTTCGAAGCGACGCCCGCCGCAGCCGCGGCTGCGGGAATGGTGAATAGGAAAAATGAAATGAGGAGAAGTTTGGGCATTGTTGATGGATGAATTTAATTTAATTTAATTTAAAGATACGAGAGTTAGGGTTTTAATTTAGGGTTTCTATTTATAGATGAAATGAATCAATAGACATTTAGTTTGAAGAAATTAGGGTTCTTACATTAAGGTTGTAAATAATTCCAATATGCAATTAATCTAAATAATTAATAAATTTCTGGCAAAAATCTTGTCTACATTGAAAAGTTGACTGAGATTATTTATTTTATCACTTTGGAACGAGTCAAATTTAAAAAACAAATGTTGGTTTAAAACTTGAGTCTCAATTTCTTTTTTATGCATAATCATTGTAATTTTTATAAAATTATATTATTATTTTTTTATAAAAATATCATATCTAACACTAATAAAAATAAATATATGATAATATATAAAATCTTAGACAAACAATTTTATTTAATTTTTATTATTATTTTCAAAACTCTCCAAAATTCTGAAATATATCTAAATACAAAATTTTCAATCATTTTAAATTTAGGTTTAAGAAGTAAGAACACATTGGACCAATAAATTAATTAGTAATTATTCTCATTGCATGTTGAAAATATTTTAATTCCATATATTATTGAAGCATGCACGTAGTTGTTACAATTTGATTTATTTATATGCAAATAGTTAATTTATAATATATGAAGATGATGTGATTGTCCAACCTTAGTTGACTAATCTTATTTATAAATATACTATATATTGATTTGATTAAATCACAAATAGATTTTAATCGCATAAATAAAAGAAAATTAAAAAATTAAAAAAAATAAAAAATTGCTTTAGAGAAAATAGAGAATTTTAAATATATATGAATAGAAATAAAATATTATAGCACTTTAAGAAAAGAAATGAGGAAATTTAAACGAAAAAAAAAAAAAAAAAAGAATATGATTCTGACGGCAAACAAAGACTTGAAGGTTGTATCTTCAATTTTGGCAAAATTGTACAAAATTCACGTGTGATTTCATCAAATTGCGTCAAATTCTTTTATACTTTTAAAATTGTGTCAAATTCCTTCATGGTTTCATAAAATCTACGTCTAATACCATCGGTTGTCCTTATTCAGCGGTGTTGACTCTGTATGCGACTAAACTACGAATAAGTTTCAGAATTTTATTTCAAAATTATTTTAATTACAAATATATTCATTATTTTTAGATTTAACCTCAAAGAACAGTAAATATATTCATAAATAATTGTTTTTCTCTTATTTTAATAGTTTTTTAGTATTATTTGAGGCTAAATAGAAAAGAAACTAATATATTTATAATTTTAGGGGTTTAGAAATAGAGATTCTGAAATTCATTCGCACTTTAAGCACGTGTAGATCAAATATCGTTAAACAAAGGACGGTCGAAGAAGTTAGACGAGAAATTTATGAAATCATGAAAGAGTTTCACGCAATTTTTTTTTAAATATAAGAATTTTGCGCAATTTCGTAAAACCATGAATAGATTTTGCGCAATTTAACCTTCAACTTTAAATTTCTCACAATAAGATTCACATCTAAAATCTATTTTTTGTTTTATACAAAATATAGTTTATTTTTGGTAAATTTAAATTGAAATCAATATTATTCATTCATGTACAATTTTAAATAAAAATACAATAGTTTCTCTAACAAAATATTATTAAAAAAAAAAAAACTCAAATCAATACCACATTTCAAATTAATTTCAAACAAAACCAAACTCAATCACTACTCTCACAATTAAAACATCAAAATGAAAAATCTAAGAACAATATAAAATTACAAATGAATACACTATTTTAATTTATTTATTTATTTTGTGAAAAAAAAAAAAAAAAGTCTGAGGTTCTATAACCACTATGTTGTCAACAATCTATGTGCATTCAATTATTTTTTTTAAATATAATATAAAAAATATCAAATAAAGTGGGAGCTTGTAAATCCAACCTCACCGTCACGATTTTACTTTTATATTATCAGACCATTTTTTTACCGGACTATGTTCAATTCTTCTCATGTCAACATGTATGTAATGTATATAAATAATTACAAAATCCAACTTTTTGAATTAAAAATTTTTTTTATAATATTTTTAATAAAAAATATATAAATTTAATTTAATCATTTTAAAAGAAAATAGCAACGAATACAAGACAGACAAACTCGGTGCCAGACGTATCGTAAACTACGATGGATTAAAAATTTTAAACCCATGACATCGTGGTCACAAATTCACTCTCCACACCACCAGATTATCCTTTACGAAATTTGATTTTTCTTTATATATTATATGTAAATAGGGGTTGAATGTAATATTTGTATGAAAAAAATAAATAAATAAATAACATATGCTTAATAAATTATAATATTACATAGTAAAGAAATTGAAAAGAGTATTAAGAGGCTCCATTTAGACATAAATTTTGGAAAAATTTAAGAATAAGTAAAAATTGAGTATTCAATATAATATTTTATTAAAAAAAATACTTATATATAATATGAGGTTGAAAATTTTGGCCATTTGTTACATAATTTAATTAATTCCTCAAATAATATTAAAAATTGGTTCGCTTCTCAGTCCGGTCCACGAGAATCAGCCCAATCCTTTGTACCCAAATCCTAACCCATTACCCTAAGCTCAACTTTTCCAAAAAGAGAGTTTGCTTGATTATAAGTTTTGTTTGTTTGGTTTTTAATACCAAAATCCAATTTAATTAGGCCCAGGCCCTGTTTGTTTGCATTTAGAACTTGTTCCTTTGCCATGATTAATTGGATTCATTTTTATTTCGATTCAATTATATTAATTTGGGTTTATTCGAATTTTTCTTCAAGAATAATTTGTATTTTTTATTATGAAGTTTGATTAGATGAAGCTCATATATAAATTCAGAATATACAATATTTTCTATATAAAAAAAAGTTATTGATGATAAATAATATCAAAAATTCAAAAATATATATATAACAGAACGTTCTATTAAAAAAACACGTATGCTGTATTGTTCATGACAAAATAATTCTCAACGGGGTCGAACAAATACAAATTTTCTATCACATAACCTTTGGCCATCTGAAAAAAACCCGACCCTCCAACAATCGGCACCTCTCGGCCTGTGGTGATCCTGACCGGATTCCTCCCGAATGCACTCAACGTGCTCCCATTGTACAGCCCTGCTGTAAACACCACACTGACGATCGACATCAGTGCCGTCTCTTGCATGTCCGGCCAAACCAACATCCCCTGCACTCGCCCCAGCTCCGGCGAGTCCTTGTCGGGACCCACCGTGAGCTTAGAGTCCATAACACTAACCTACCCAAGTAATACAATATTCATTAAACTTCACATACAATTCATACTCAATAAAACTAATACTCCCTCCATCCCATAAATATAGTCTTAATTGGATTGGGCACATGATTTAAGGAATATTGATATTATATTGGTAGTTGATAAAAAGTATGAATAAAAGATTTTTTTGCCCTTGTGAGTGTATTAGAGTAAAAAGTAGTGACAATTGTGTAATAAAAATGAAAAAGTAAAAATAGTTTTATGGTGATATGGTTATTTATGGAAATAAAACTATTATTTTGAGACGGACAAAAATGGTAAACAAGACTATTGTATTGGAACGGAGGGAGTACTATTTTCGTCCCTTATCAAATTGGTCATTTGGGGTTCTGTAGTAGATCAAGAAATAATAGTATTTTATTTGTTAGTGAAAGTGTGTAAGAGATTTGACATTTTTACCATTTGATTTTATGTATAAAGTAATTGTATGTGTTATTGTATGTTTATAATTTAGATCAAAGTTAAATGTATTTTGATATTAGTGTATAGTTACTTTCTCTAAAATAAAAAATAAATACTTTGAAATGGAACAGACCAAAATAGTAAAAAGAATACTTTGAATTGGAACGGAAGGAGTATGAAAATGAAAAAAAAAAAAAAAAAAAAAAAAAAAACGACTAACCTGTCCAAATTGTGTCGGCGAACCTTCCGTGACCGATGCTCTTGCAACCTCGTATACGTTGGGGCTCGGCCCTCCCACGGCAGCATGGGCGTAGTAATGGATGATCGCTGCCGGTTTCGCCTTGCGTCGGGGAATCGAGTTTTTTGGATCGAAGGACGCCGCCGACAAGAAAATGGTGAGTAGGAGGAAGGAGATGAAGAGAAGTTTAGCCATTGATGGTCGATGAATTTGATTTAGGTTGTAGAGGTGAGAGTTAGGGTTAAGTCTTGGATTTAGGGTTTTTATTTATAGTCGAATTGAATTAATATTGAGTTATGGGAAGAAATTAGGATTTTTTTTTTTTTTTTCTTTGTTTAAGTTATTTAAGGTGTTATTTCCTACAATGATTATAAATTATTTCAAAGTCTTCTCTCCATTGGAATGTAGATTAAGTTAATGATTTCATCACTACCAATCTAGTTGAATTGAACAACGAGTATGGAAGTTACTACTTGATTATGATTACAATTTATTACATACTTGGTTAAGGTAGTTATTAGTCATAATCAGAAAATAGGAGTATAAAATTAAATATTAATATAATATGAATATTGATAACATATGATAATAGTCGATTAATACAATATATATCATTATTAATCTCATCGCATAATGTTACATATAACATATACATTACAATATACGGTAATAAAGCACAAATATATTACTCCTTCCGTCTCGTATAATTTTTTTTTATTTAAGTCCGTCTCACATAATTTATTTATTTATTTGGAAAATATGATATACACTTTAATCACATTTTAAATTTCATAAGTTATAATCTTTTTAGTTCTTAATTAAATTATTTATTTATTTTAATGTTAATTTATAATTATTTTTACCAATTATAGAGATCGCATATTACACGCATTGATAATTTTTTGTTCACGGCTTAAATGTTACTTCATTGATCTATTTGTTTTTATAAAATAATAATAATAATAATAATATTGACATTGAATATTTTATTTTTTGTGCAGGATATTATATCTAACCAAAAAAATAAAATAAAATACAAGTAAATACATCAAAACAATATATTAAGACCAGAGACTTGAAGGTTGCATGTTAATTCCATTTTTAACTCTTTTGGGTATGTATTTAAGATTTTATTTTGGTGTCGTACAATTCATTGAAAAAAAAATTCTCAAAATTATCCAATTAGACATATTTTTTTATTATTTAATATGATGTATAGAAAATCAAATTTGTATACAAAACATCACATTAAATACCTATATTTAAATCACAATCAAACACTATTTCAATTTAATATTTTATTATTCTCAAATCTCAATGCTAAATTCAAACCTTCAAATTAAAGAATACATCTTTAAAAACACCTCATTGAATTTTAATTAATTGAACTTAATAAATACTTGGATGTTAGTATAGTCAAATGGGAAAATAATTCAAATTAAACCCTATTGTTAAATTTAAATGGAAATAGTCTACAAAATTGTAAAAAAATGCTATAGATAAAATAAAATATAAAGAAATATATATATATATATATTGTTGATGGAGTTTTTTCTTCTCTTAATTCTTACTTTAATTTATATACTTAGACTTCAAACTTATTACCCTTAATTATGCATTTTCTAATTGATCTTTGATTCTATCTATAATATTATCTGATATTTGACTTTTTTTTGTAATTTGTTCTTTCAATTTATTTTATTCTAATCCTTTTTTATCCATCAATACCAGCAGTTTTTTTGGAGTTTAATTTTAATATTATTATTATAAAATCATCGATTCTCTATACAAATATAATTTCTTTTCACAAAAGTATTATACTTTAAATTACTATTTGAAAAGATTAAACTTGAAAAAAACATACGATTGAGCATTGTCGGATGTTGAATAACCGTTTCACCTAAAAGCTCGAACTATTATGAAAATGCAATTATTAATCATATATTTGCAAACGGGAGTCCCCAACGTAAAAGCATACTTTAAACTACTATGTCTAGGACTGCAAAATATTACATTCAAACTATTTTTCGAACTAAAAAATCAAAATCAGTCTAAAGAGAATAGTCAACTAGACACACCTCTTATGTTTACCGTCGTCACCTCATTAGACTTGTGAAAATTTGAGTAACAACGGTGCTTAAATGATGCATTTGCGTCCGATATAGCTACTAGAGGACATCAAATTTGTAGTACTAATAAATAATATGAATTCAAAATCTCCATGAATAAATAGCTTGAATCGAAACAAATTGCAACCACTTATGCATAACATGTATTTATAATGGTACAACAAGTGTAACAAATACATATCTCGCGTGAGAAAAGATTATTTTGACGCTACTTTTTATTACAAAATGTGGCGTGAAAAAAGCTTTTTGCATCGCGAATACATATTATAGTAAAGATGCGTAATTAAGTGATAGAAAATTAACAAAATATGAAGTAATAGAGAAGGAAAATAAATTTTATTTCTTAATTCTTTTCCACTGTCAAACTATTATAATAAATAGATATATATAATGGATAAACACAAATATCAGTGATTTATTATCCAATATTCACTAAATCAATATATATCAAACTTTATTATATAATCATCAAATTAATATAGGATTATTCTCAATTAATATCATAATTAAGTTCTATCACCAAGTTGTGACAAAAATATATTTTGTACAAAAAAATAACTATTTGTTATAGTTTTCTAGCCGTTGCAAAAAAAAATAATAATATTTCCTCCGTCCCATTGAAAAGTTGTCATTTTTCATTTTCGTCCGTCCCAAAACAAGGTTACCATTTCATAATTTAGTAATTGTACTACTTACCTAACATAATAAAAATCCTTCCAACTTACACTATATTATACAAATATGATTACTTTTATATTACACAATACTAATAGGGGTATTTTTGTCTTTTCACTACAATCCATTATAATACTAATATTAAAAAATCTACGTGCCAAAAGTAAACGGCAACCTTGCACCGGAACGGAGGGAGTAATAACTTTTTGCATTGCTTGAGCCAATCATTCACATAAGTGATATCGAACATGAATGTATGCGGGCATTGCTAGCAATATTTTGTCCGGATACCATAACTGGAGTTTGTTTGTTAGCTAACACATCAGCTCGATTTCGTAAAATTTACGGTATAATATGTTGGTTGTAATCAGGGCCGTCTCGGGGTCCGGGTGAAAGGGGCGACCGCTCAGGGCCCAATCTAAATTGGGATCTATTATTTATTTATGTTATATATAAATTATTTATATATACAAATTATTTGACATTAATATATTAATACAAAAGCATGGTTTAGCTATATTTTGAAACTCAGTGTAAATCTCTATATACTTTAAAAATGACATGAACCCTTATACTTTAAAAAATATTCCATGAAACTCATTTTTATATTTTTTTGGCGATGAGAAGATGACTTTTCATCTATATTTTTTGCATGACGAGGGTTTAATATAGCGTTTGTTAAAATATAAGGGAGCGTTACGCAATTTTTAAAAGGTATGCTAGAAAAAATGTTTTTTTTTTATTTATATTTTATTATAGGTAAAATATATTATATATATATTTAAGGGCCTCTAATTTTTATTTAGCCCTGGGCCCTTCAAAAGTCAGGAACGGCCCTGGTTGTAATGGTGGGACTAGTTTGATAATTCTTGTTTAAATTCTTATTAGTTTGTATTTAAATACAAAATATGACTATTTTTGATCATTTTAATTTATATAGGGATTAAAAAAATATCTTAATAATAATTAAAATTTCATAATCTATAATTTTATGAATTTTTAACCCTTAATCGATTCTAACTGCCAATTTTTCAATTTCATCTTCTTCGTTTTTTTTTATTCAAACCAACAATTGGATTTGTTAAGGTTTCGTCTCGGATCGCATTTTGTGAAACTATAGATCATATGTCGGAACCAATGGTTTACGATTTTATATATTTTGTTTTCTAAAAGACAAATGAACAAGATTAGGATATCAATAATAATTTGAATATAAATTAGAAAAAAATTAAAAAAGAATAAATATATATATATATATATATAAACATACCTTAATGTGGAGTTACATTGCCTATGGGATCGGGTCAAGGGCTAGTTTTTTTTTTTTTTTCATTTTTACTATTTATCTACACTAATTTAAATATGTTTCCCTCTAATATCACATAATATATCTATTTTTTATTTAGTTATTATATTAAAAAATTATTTAAAACATCATATCATATATAAATATTTATATCACATTAAAATTATTATTACAATTCAAAGTTTTTTAATACTTTATAATACACCAAAATAATAAAATAAACCAAAGCAAAACCATCAAACCAATATTTAATACTTATGTTGATATTGAAGTTCCCAATACATATTAAATTTGGCTTGTTTGTCAGAAAGTTTGGGAATTTTTGAAAAAAATAAATAATAAAAAAATAGTATTAAATTTGAAATTTGTAATTAAAGAGTGGATCAATTTATTTTATTGAATAAATAGTTGAATTAGGTCTCAAATACCTAAAATTTCCAACAGTTTCAAGCATATAAATTAAGTTCAAATAATAAAATGCAGTATAAATGCAGAAAATAAAAAACTTTCTTTGAGGTTGAAATTATTTCGACTAGAGCCGGCAATTGGTCGATTCGTGTCGGGTTTGTGTCGGGTTGAATACTTTAAATGAGTTAAATTACTCAACTCTAACCCAACCTGTTTATTATCGTGTCAGGTTCGTGTTGACCTGTTTATTATCGTGTTGGATTCGGATTGACTCGTGTTGACCCGTATACATAATTAAGTCATATTTCTTGATTCAAATTAAATAATATTTTGTTGCGTTGTCGTCTTATGTTAGTTTTTATTTGTTTGAGCGTAAATTAGGTTGAATTATTTAAAATTGAACTATGTTTAAATTAATTTATAAGAAAATTAATAAATTATGATTATTTTACATATATAATAAATATATTAATCAATATTAATATACTATAATCGGATTCGAGTTGAGAGTCTCAACCCTAACCCGACCCGTTTATTATCGTGTCGGGTTCGTATCAATCCGTATACATAATTGGGTTGAAATCTTTGACCCAAATTTAATTATTTCGTGTCGAGTTGTCGTGTTTGGTCAGTTTTTGCCGGCTCTAATTTCCACGCGTTTTGATTTGCTGCCATTAATTAATATCGAAGTTTGGAAGCTGTTGAACGTAACTTTCAACCATATATGCAACACACAACTTCTATCCTATTAATTAATATATATATATATATATATGTATATATACTAGAACCCGGCGCGCGATATGCCGCGCCGGTGTATAATAAAAATAATTTCGTGTAAAACATATATATACACATGTAAAACAAGTAAACAAGTTCGATTGCAACAAAATCAAAGTAAAACAACCTCAACATTTAGCTTAAAACGTGATGTAAATTTTAGGTCACTTCCTGTACTTGGAGAGACCAGAAATGCTAGTGGCTGGAAAGAAGATTGAAAGTAGAGAAAGCTAAGACTAAACCATAGATGCCTTATTAACAGCTTTTAGCTGTTTGACCAGTCAAAAAATTAATTTAGGTGTTTGGTAACTTAGCTTTTTGAAAGATCTTTTTGGACTAAAAAGCTAATTTCTGAAAACCTCATCTACCCAGCGTTTTGAAAGAATTTGTCATTTTAATTTTGGTTATTCCTTATTTACCCTTAAAACTTAATTATTTTATATATATATATATATAAATATATTTTTATAGCTATATTTATTAATTATTTTTAATATATTTAATATTAAATTATATTTTTTTTGTAAATTTAAAATAATTACTATTATTAATTATTACACATAAATTATTTTATTTGTAAAATATATAAATTTTTTAAACTAAATCAAATAAAAAAATGTTATTAATTTATTTTAATATATTAAAACAATAATTTAACATAATAAAAATATATATACGAAAGATTTATTATTTTATATTTTATATAATTTCAGTAAAAAATTATTATTTTTTAGTAAAAATAATTTTTTTAATTCTAAATAATAAAAATAAAAATAAATATTTTATAATATTTTTATAATTTTCAATAATTAATAATAAAAATTCTCATAAATTTCAAACCAAAATGAACAAAATTAAATATTTTAAAAAATAGCATATCAATGTCCTTAATAGTCATTTTATATATAAACAGCTAATGAGTTATTTTACCAAACACTTTAACACAAACCGCTAATTGAATCAGCTATTCAAACCAGCTAATTGAATCAACTAACAGCTAAAATCTAATTGAATAAGCTAACAACTAAAAACTATCTGCTAATTGCGAAACGCACCCTAAATAAAATAGGAAGACATACATCTTCTATTTCAAAAAATTTAAAATATGCGGATGACAACGAAATGATCTTTTTAGTAAATTCCAAAAAAAATGAAGAATCGATTGGACAAGGAGAAGACACAAGAGAGTCGTTTGGAAAATGGACAAAAACAAATGGATGGTTGGTGGAGGAGGAGGAGTAACACGCCATTGGCACACGGTGGCAGCAGGACAAAGAAAGGGTGGGTGATTGTGAAGGGCTAATGAGAAGGGTATAAAAGACAATTCACGTGGCAAATTGGCACAATCTTATATATATATATAAGATATAATAATATATATTCAATTGTAATGTCTTTTCATTTGAAAATGATTATTTTAAGTTTTGCAGTAAAATAAAAATTAATACTAATATTTTATTAGTCACTGTGTATAAAATTTTGATACTTTTCTTTTTAACTTTATGTTTAATAATATATTTGTAATTTAAATAAAAATTAAAAATATTTTGATATTAATATAATAATATTTTTCCAAAAAAAGATAAAAATATATATATATATATACTTTTAAATAAGACAAACAAAAATAGTAAAAATAATTTTTGAATTAAAATGGGGAGAGTATCATTTATTGTTTGTTTATTACATATTATGTCCTACTAAATTCAGTTCAGTAACTGTTGCCGTTTATAGGTGTGTTTGATTTTGAGCTGGGATTTGAATAGTAAAAATTTTGAATTTGAATAGTTGTATAATGTGATATAAATAAATGTTGATGTGATATTTTGAATATAAAATTAATTTTAGTATAATATAAAAAATAAAAAATAGGTGTTTGATTTGATATTTTTGGAAAAAAAATTTTGGATGAATAGTATAAATCCAATCCAATCCCCAAACAAACACATATATATATATATATATATATGTAGTGTGTAATTAGTCGTAGTAACGAACATACAAAGTATTCTCAAACACAAAATATCTCTCAACGGGCTCAAACGAATACGTATTCTCTATCAAATACCCTCTGGCCATCCGGAAGATCCCGGTCCCTCCCAGTATCGCCAGCTCCCGGCCCCTCGGGATCCCGATCGGATTCCTCCCCGCCACACACACGGTGCTGCCGTTGTACGGCCCCGCCGTGAACACCACGTTGATCGCCACCGCCACCGCCGGCTCCCGGAGGTCCGCCGACGTAATCATCCCCTGCGCCCGCCCAAGCTCCGGCGAGCTCCTGATCGGATCCGCCGTCGCCTTGTCGTCCAAAACCCTAACCAGCCCGAATTGCGTCGGCGATGTCGCCGTGATCGACGATCGAGCAACCTCGTATAAATTCGGCTCGGGCCCCCCCTCAGCGCTGTGGAGGTAGAATCGGATGACCGCTGATTTCTCCTTTTTCCGAGAGAAGGCTCGGAACCAGGCGTCGGGATCGGCCGCCGCCACCGTAGCAGCGGCAGCAAGTAGGAGGAGGGAGAATGAGAGTAAATGTGCCATTGTGGATTAGTTAATTTAATTTAATTGAGTTAGGGGTTAGTGTTTGATTTTTGTAGGGTTTCTATTTATAGGTGAATTGGACTTCATTTATAGTTTTGGAAGTTATTGAGTTTTGGAAAAAAAATTAAATAAATAAAAAAAATTAAAATTTTGATGTGATATTTATATAATAATAATAATAATAATAATAATACTCTTTCCAGGCTAGTGTGTCCCTTTTACTGTAGATACAAAAATTTTGTGAAGTATATAATTAGTAAATAATTAAAAATATATTAATAAAAATAATTATCGCATAATAAAAATAATTTTATATTAAAAATTATGATAATTAATTAGTTTAATTAAAATTAAAAAATTTTAAAAACACGGTAAGTGAAACAGATGAAGTAATTGTTTGATAAATAGTGCTGAGAATTGTAAGAGTATTTATAGCAACGATTACCGGCACCTAGTCAAAAAACAGATAGCACATGATATTATAATTATAGTTAGAAAATGAGTGTTAAATAAAAGTAAGTAATTGTACCGTATAAATGTCATAAATGCACTTCATGTGCTGAAGTCGATTATAAATTGTGTTGTCTTTAATTATGACATATATTGTCTGTTCATATATTATATTTTTATTATACTAATAGAAAATAAACAGTACATGTTATAGTCAAATACAGGTACAATTTATAGTTGACTTCAGTACATAAAATGTATTTATATATTACAACTATGTACTTTTATTTAACGCAATATGTTATGTGAAATAAAAGTAATTTCAAATTTCAATAATGTAATGGGATTTGAATTCTGACTAGTCACTTAAATTAAATTAAATACTCCCTCCGTCCCACCCAGATACCATGTCCACGTTGTCGTTTTTGTCCGTCCCACGTACCATGTTATTTTTCTTTTTTGGAAAATGATTACACACTTTAATCTCATTTTAAATTTTTAAATTTTATTATTTAAAATTTTTAAACTAATTAGTTATCTTAATCTTAATTTATAATTATTTATATTATAGGATAATTATTTTCACTAATATATTCTTAATTATCTACTAATTACACTCATCCTAAAATACCGTATTTACAGTGTAGCAGACACGGTATTTGGGACGGGAGTATAATATTATACGATCGAACTCGAAGCTGGCAATGAGATATTATTCTGATCCATTTATTGACAAAGTCTACAACCTACATTATTAATTTAATTTATTTCATTTCGTAGTGTGATCCAAGGCTATGTTTGGATTGTGGTTTTCGGACTATTCCCTTTTTTTTTGTTTTTTTTTTTTTAATATGTAGAATTAAATATTTATTATTTATTGAATATATTACACAAAATATTTAAATTATTACATCAAATACTATTTAAACTTTATTGTTGAATAATAAAAACTATTTATTGAATACATCACATTACAAATTTTAAATTTATTTGTTTTTTATTTGAGTTGAATTTTTTAATTGAATTTTAGTTTAAATTATATTTCGATGTAATATTTTATTATAAAATATAGTTTATTTTTATTAAAACAATGTAAGGAACCAAATAAATCCTACGAGTCATTAATTATTATTTCTTGTTGCATTATTTTGATAAGATGTGATTTTGGGGAAAAAAAATTAAAATTAATAAAATAAATAAATAAATAAAAGTTGAGTGTAAGATGTGCTTTTTTTCAAAAAATATATATGTATTCTGTGTTATTTTACTTAAAAATATATAATTTTGATAAATAATACTCCTTCCGTCCCATAACAAAGTATCCATTTTTTCATTTTAGTCCGTCCCATAACAAAGTATTCATTTCCTTTTTACTAATTGTACTATCTACGTAACATTACAAATACCCTTACAACTTACAATATATTACATAAATGTCATTATCTTTATATCACACCATACTAATAAGGTTATTTTAGTCATTTTTACTTTATTCTTACTATATTCCAATATAATACTAATATTTCTAAAACTACGTGTAAAAAACAAATGGATACCTAATTATGGGACGGAGAGAGTAGTAAAACTTTCAAAAGTATATGTAAAAAGATCCATGAGGATTATTTGGTTTTGATTTGGAATTGAATTTTTTATTTTAATTTTGATTTAACTAGTATTTTTATTCGATATTTTATGAAATGAAATGGTATGTTTTTATTGAAAATTGTATCGAATGAATAGTATTATCAATTTATATTTGAAATATAAATCAAACACAACGTTACAATTGTATTTGTTTATATATAAAATTTTTTTTTTATTATATGATGCGATTGCCTAATCTTTTTAATATAGTTGACTTATATTTTTTTAAAAAAATGCTTTTAAATAATTAAATATAGTATTACACTAAACCATTTCTTGTTTCTTTAAGATATTTGACTTACCTCTCCTTTGAACATTATTGTAAGAAAATGAGGCATCCACACAATTAATTTAACAATTCTTTTGGGTTTTTTAGGATTTTCATTATTCAATTTTTCATGTTTCCTAATTGAAAATACAAAAAATTTTATAAAATATTGTATAAAATTACTATGTATATTTATTTTTAAAAAAAAAAAAAAAAAAAAAAAAAAAAACCAAAAGAAGCATACTTTCAGTTGGGCATGAAGTTGGGAAATAGTAGAGTTGGCAAAAACTGATCCGATACGACAATCTGACACGACCTGACACAATATAATTGGGTTTGGGTCAAATATTTTAACCTGATTATGTATACGGATTGGCACGAACCTGACACGATAGTAAACGGGTCGGGTTAGGGTTGAGGCTCTCAACTTCGAACCCGACACGACAACCTGATTATAATATATTAATATTGATTAATATATTTATTATATATATGTACAATAATCATAATTTAATAATTTTCTCATAAATTAATTTAAACTAAATTTAATTTTAAATAATTCAACCTAATTTACGTTCAAACCAATAAAAACTAACATAACAAAAAATTATTTAATTTGAATCAAGAAATTCGACTTAATTATATATATGGGTCAACACGAGTCAACCCGAACTCGACACGATAATAAACAGGTCAACATGAACCCGACACGATCATAAACGGGTCGGATTAGAATTGAGTAATTTAACTCGTTTAAAGTATTCAACCCAACACGAACCCGACACGAATCAGCCCATTGTCAGCTCTACGAAATAGTATTTTAAAAATTTGAAATGAAAATAATATTTGATAAGGTATAAATAGAAGCTTAATTTAATATTTTAAATAAAAAATTTAATTTTTATATAATATTAAATAAAAATAATTATTTAATTTAATAATTCTGAGAAAAAAGAAAACTGATAAAATAATGTGAGCAGAAGAAATTTTCCTTTGAGTGAATGGCCAACGGGTGACTATATTAGGTGCATTTGAAATTATAATTGAATTAATTATTCTATGTGATATAAGTATATAAAATTTTAAATAAAAATTAATTTTTAATATAACATAAAAAAATTAATTATTTGATTTAATATTTTAAAATAAAAAACTTATGATCAGCTATAGCCTTATGCACTTTATATTATTTCCTCCGTCCTTTCGGAGGAGGGTAACGTTTGCTTTGTTTTTCGCACGTAGATTTTTTAATATTACTATTATATTGGATCGTAGTAAAAAAGACAAAAATATCCCTATTAGTATGGTGTAATATAAAAGTAATAACATTTGTGTAATATATTGTAAGTTGAAAGGGTATTTATTATATTAAATAGGTAGTACAATTACTAAATTAGGAAATGATAACCTCGTTTTAGGACAGACAAAAATGAAAAATGGTAACCTTTCGATAGGACGGGAGGAATTATAATTTGTGTTTCCTCTTAAACCATTACATCAATAAACATACTTTTACTTTAAAAACTATACTTAAAATTTGAATTTTTTTTGATAAATTAAACTCAAGAGTTTAAGCAATTTTAAATTTTATTCATTATAGGAAACAGGCCCAAATACTTTGGGCCTAATTTGTAAATTATTTAAACTTTTGTTGAAGAATTTATTTTGTTTGTATTTTCGGTACTTTCGAATTATTAATTCTACACTAAAAATAATTTTCTTACCAAAAAAAATAATACATAATGCATCTTACAGTATATTATTTCATTCAGCATTGTATTAATTTTTTGTTTTCTAATACATTTATTTAATTATTTTTCTTATTATAAGATTTTCAAAATTACATTAAGGGTGTGTTTGTTCGGGGGTTTGGATTTTGAATTGGGATTTGAATAGTAAAAATTTTGAATTTGAATAGTTGTATGATGTGATATAAATAGGGTTTGATGTGATGTTTTGAATGTAAAATTGATTTTTAGTATAATATAAAAAATGAAAAATAGGTGTTTGATTTGATGTTTTTGGGAGAAAAAAATTGGATGAATAGTGAAAATCTACCAAAATCCTTCAAACAAACACACCCTAAATAGAATAAATATTTAAATATAATATAATAGTCTAAATTGCACAAAATTGACATGTGGTTTCATGAAATTGCACCAAATTCCTTCCTCGTACTTCTAAAATCGCGTCAAACTTGTAGTTTCATAAACTCTGTGTCTAACTCCCTCAGCGGTCCTTATATAACGGTATTTGACCTAAATGCGCCCAAACTACGAATAAATTTTAGAATTTCAATTTCTAAACCTCTAAAATTACATATATATATATATATATATTTTTCTTATATTTAGCCCAAAAAAGAATAAAAATAAACTCTTAAAACCTGAGAAAAATAACTATTTTTTAATATAGTTACTATTTTTTAGACTAAATATAAGAAAAATAAATATATTTATAATTTTAGGGGTTCAGAAATTGAAATTTTAAAATTTATTCACAGTTTGTGCGCATTTGTCGAATATTGTTAAATAAAGACCGCGGAGGAGGTTAGACGTGTAGTTTATGAAATCACGAGAGAGTTTGACGCAGTTTTTAAAGCATAAAAGATTTGGCTCAATTTTATAAAACTACACGTAGATTTTATGCAATTTAACCAATATAATATAATATCTTGAATAGTGATATTAATAATTGGCACGAGAAAAGGGGGGGACAGATTCCAATCCAATTTTGTAAAGCCCAAATTAATTAATAA